CCGGGCAGAAGGTGAGCGCAGACGCTCGGGGGATGGGACATGGAGGACCGAGTCCCCATCACTCCCAGTAGGCGGCCCTGGGGCATTAGGGGCTGTATACCGCTGCATCCTACACTCGGTCCTGGGGTGTCCAGGGTCACGTCGCTGCAGCCCTCTCTGTCCGCGTGACACTCCCGACGGGAGCTGCTGAACGTCAGGGCCTTACCTGGCGAGCCGGCGTGAGGGTCCCGTCCACGTCAAACAGGCAGAGGACGCGCTCCTTCCTGCGGGCGCCCTCAGTGGCGACCGCCATGACTGCAGCTCGGCGCGCGCGGCAGAGTGCAGCGATGCCGCCTCCAGAGCCGAGTAGGAAAGAGGCTAGACTAGGCGGGGCGCGGGAGGGGCGGGGCCAGGGCGTGATCTCGGCGGGAGAAGGACTGCCCTGACGGGGCGGGGGCGGGGCCTGAGCTGACTCAGGAAGGCTGATTCTGATTGCACCAGGTGGGGAGGGGGCGTGGCATAGGGAGGAGCAGAGAGCAGCAGGCTGGTCTGATTGTTCCAACCAGACGTAGGCGGGGCCTGAGCCTGGGCGCGACGGGAAGTGAGGCATAGAACCCGGAAGAGAGGAGCGGGGCCAGAGTTGGTGCTCGGCGGGAATATCCTGATTGCATCTGATCTAGGGTGGCTGGCCGGGGGCGGAGCCTCAAACCCTGCAGTGCAGTGAGAGGGCGGGACTCCAAGAACCTGAGCTGTCCCCGAGTCTCCCCGCCCGCCGTCAGTCACTCCGTGACTCACCCGTTCCTTGCTAATGCCTTTGCCCTACAAATCTTAAGCGTTAATCTGATGGCCTTTGCTCAGGCTCTGGACTTTACCAGATGGCCTTGGCGGACTAATAATCCTTCCGCTGTCATTCTGTCCACCCCGTGAGGCCTAGCTCATGGTCCACCTCCTTCAAGAAACCTTTCTGGATCCCTCTATTCATAATTATTCAACCATCACGTTGACTTTATGATCAGTCCTAGGTTGCCTTCCCTCCCAGCTCCACCACTATGTGACTTTGAACAAGTCACTTCACCTCTCTGAGGCTTTGTGTCTCCATCTGTGAAATGGGAAGAATATCACCTACTCTGTAGGGTTGTTGCGCATATGCAAAGAAATAAAAAATGTAAAAGAGCCCACATAGGACCTGGCACACAGCAGACCTATTCCAAAGGAGAATGTGTATAGATGTGTTTGATACCGTTACTGATTAAACAGGTATTGCACGTCAAAAGTCTTAACAATGGGCAGACCTCTGAGCCAGCAATTTAACTTTTAGAAAATAAGGGGAAAAATGGGGATTGGTTAAATTATGATCTATTTATGAGATGAAGTGCCACGAAGCCATAAAAATCTGTGTTGTAGAATATTTAGCGTGGAAAAAGCATGGTAAGGAAAAGCAGCAGGCTGTCTCTGGGTGCTGGTATTATGGTGAATTTCAAAGTTCCCTTTGAAATGCATGGACTACAGCTTCCTCTTCTCCAGGATTCTGTTTTGGCTTCCTTCCATACTGCCAGAGCCAAGCCCCCCTCCCCCCCCCGCCTCCCTCTGTGCTCCCAGGGAGTGCCATTCAGTTTGGGAGTACGCCTGGGTGGGCATTTTTGCTGCATCCACTATTCTTGCCAATGCCTGTGATGAAGTTTGAGGGTGATGGTTTGTGGGGTCCAGAGCCGATGGCCAAGAAAGAATTCTTGAAGGCGTCTTTGGTGCAAAAAGGTAATTTTATTCAAGCATAGGGACAGGACCCATGGGCAGGTAAGAGCTGTACAGCAAGTGTGGGAGTGACCTGACCCTTTTATGGAGTCGGGGAGATGAAGTAAGGAAGAAGTTTCTAAAGACCTTCACATGCTAAAGACATACTGGAGGCCTAGCTATTGTTGAATTAAGGTGGTTTTTCCCTCTAGCAAAGCATTAATATTGACAACAGGGAGTTCCTGGACTTTAGGCCATTGATGGGATTGCCTTTTTCTGGTAAACTGGTGGAGTCTCTTATCTGTTTAACCATTTGGTTTTTTTGTCCTTTCCGGTTTTTGGGTAGCTGGGAGTGTCCGAGGAATAAATACACGTCCCACCTGGGAAGGGGGTGTGTGCCAGCTTTACTTTGCCCTCAGCTTACCTCACGCTCCCTCATCACCTGTGATCAGCTCTGGCAGTTTAGGCCATGCAAAGACACACATCCGCACACCTATGAGTGGCACTTCAGTGAACAATGCTTTTGATAGTTTTTTGTTTTGTTTTTTTGTCTTGGTAGCTGCAGTGCCCTAGGAAGATCTGATATGGTTTGAAATGTTGGGGTTTGGAGCTGAAGTCCAAGAAAGAATTCTGGAGATGTCTTCGGTGTAAACTGATCATATACTTTGGGATTTGGGGAAGGTAAAGACAAAGAGAAGTTTCCAAAAGGACTTTCATATGCTAAAGAAGATTCTCAGGATCTAAGAGGCCTTGCTATTGTCAAACTATGATCATTTTTTTTTTTTTTTTTTTACTCTAGCAGAGCATTAACGTTGAGACAGTTGGGACTTCCAGGAGGAATATTAAACTCTGCCTGTCTCAAGGATTTGTCAATGGGCTGCAGGTTATAAGGAAATTTAATTTTGTCTACATTTCCTTTTGCCTTTGTTCTCATCAGATCGCTCGAGGCAGAGTCCGGAAAACTGCAGTTTGGTCCCTGCTAACTATAAGGACTTGGACAAGTCACATTTCCCGAACTGTTTCTTCATCTACATAATGGGGACGTAATCCCCACCTGATAGGACTAAGAACAGTGAGCTAGGAATAACCATTATTTATTGACCCCCTTACTATGTGCTAGCCATCACACTGGACAGTTGACTGCATATCTTCATGCATTCTCACAGAAGCTCTAGAAGGTATTGTCTCCACTTGGTGAGGAAAAACAAAAGGGATGTACCCAAGGCTATATAAAGAACCTGGCAGGCCTGCCGGGCTGAGACCAGAGTGAACAGGTAAGGTGATTACCTGCACAGGCAAAAAACTTAGGAGGACACCAAAATAAACATCAAAATAAGTGGTGTTTTAATTTTTTTCTTTCTAATTTAATATTTTTAAAAAATAAAAATTAATGCCAAAAAAATCTGTGATGAGCAAAATATAGAAAAAAATGTAAAAGACAGGACCAATAATTGTGCCCTGCTGAGGAGCCATATTCAATCCGGGCCATAGGAAAACACCTGTTTGTTTGTTTGTTTGTTTGTTTGTTTGTTTCCAGGCCCTATGCCAGAGTTTGGTTCATTCATTAAACAAATGTGTTGGGGTACACACTGTTCTGGATTCTGGGAATACTGTAGAGAACAAAACAAGGGCCTTGCCCTCAAGAAGCGTTTGTTTTCTGTTGAATACTGACAGCAAGCAAAACCATCTCCGCGGGAAGGAAAACCCAACTCGATCTGCTCTTCCTGCTCCATCCAGATCTGGTCCTTGGGTCTCTGGGCACTGGTGATGAGGGAGCATAAGGCAAGCTGAGGGCAAAGCGCAAACTAGCAAACACGCCCCTCCCCCCAGGTGGGATACTTGTGACATTCCTCAGGCACTCCTGGCTGCCCTAAAGCTGAGAGAAGGAAAAAAGAAATAGTTAACTGATAGAAATCACAGTCGTGCAGGACAGGAGTCACCAATAGTTTACAAATGCAAATGTTTTAGTAAATTACAAGAAAAGGCAATCTTTTTTTTTTTTTTTTTTAAATTTTTTTTTTTCAGCGTTTATTTATTTTTGGGACAGAGAGAGACAGAGCATGAATGGGGGAGGGGCAGAGAGAGAGGGAGACACAGCATCGGAAACAGGCTCCAGGCTCTGAGCCATCAGCCCAGAGCCCGACGCGGGGCTCGAACTCACGGACCGCGAGATCGTGACCTGGCTGAAGTCGGACGCTTAACCGACTGCGCCACCCAGGCGCCCCAAGAAAAGGCAATCTTATCAATAGCCTGATCTCCAGAAACCTATAGACTCAGTTTCCTGGAGCCCCAACATCACCCTCCCTTCCGTAGTGATCTGGGAAACAAAGGCAAGAAGGAAATGGTAAATAAAATTAAATTTCTTTATAACCTGCAGCCCATTGGCAAATACTTGAGGCAAATACAGAGCATAGCATTTCTCTAGGAACTCTCTACGGTCTTCATGTTAATGCCCTACTAGAGGGAAAACAACCTTAGCTTGACTATTGCAAGGCCTCCTATCTTCTGAGTCCTCTTTAGCATATGAAAGTCTTTTTTGGAGGCCTCCCTTTTGCCTTTACCTCCCCTAACTCATGGTATATAACCAGTCACTATTCACAACCCCAGTGCAGTTCTTTCTGCCCATGGGTCCTGTCCCTGTGCTTTAAGAAAATCACCTTTTTTGCACCAAAGACGTCTTCCAGAATTCTTTCTTGGCCATCGGCTCTGGACCCCCACCACTCCAAAACCCCATCACTGGCAGGGCCTAAGACCCCTCCCAGGGCCCAGTTAGCTAGTATAGAGCCGGTGGGTGGGGCTGGAATTGCCTAAATTAGTCTCTCATATCTCACAGCCAAGAGTTCCTAGGAACTGGTTAAATGCAGATACCCAGGCCCCACCCTGCTGCTGGGCTCCAGAAGCTGTAGGATGGGGCGCACAAGGCAGAACAGGTTTTTGTCTCCTATGGATTGGGTCCACTCTTACAAATACAAACAAAGCTAAGCTCCCGACAATAGCACATCTGTAGTGAACTAGTTTCCTTACAAATACCTTTCACAGTCTCTTCCAGAATTCTCACCTCAACCTTTTTTACTGAAACCCAGGGAGGGGGAGTGAGTGCTCTGAGGCACAAATCCAGGAGTACCAGACGGAGTAGCTCTGTGGCTACCAGTGTGTCCCTTTAAGAGGGAGGCTCATCCCTGGCAACTGGTGTTCAGATGGGGCCTTGGAGAGGCCCTAGGGGGAGGCAGAAGTAGGACTGGGGGAACTGGGACTACAGAGACTGGTCGTCAGAGGGCATTCTGAGAGCACCAAAGGAAGCCAGGTCTGAAGACAGGGGGCCTGAGACCCTAGCCTGGAAGGATCCTGCTCAAAAAGGAAGGCTCTGGCTCTTTGGGGCCAGACCTTTGACTGAGATTTGGAGGTTAGTGGCTTCCATATTTGGTTTGGACAGTGTAGCTCCTACCCTGGGTACTTCACTTGCTTTTGCCAAGAAACCTTTGAGGTGAGTACGCTTATATCAATTTCTAGAGGTAGGTACTGACACCAGAGTACTGACACCCTCTGGGGTGACCTTGGCTTCCCAGAATCACAGCAAGGTCAGAATTCACATTAAGTTCTGTTCCTCTAAAGCCCATGCTTTTCCCTGCCCCCTTGGTGGAAGGCCAACTGTCAACATGTGCTGAGTGAATATGGGAGGTGTTGACCCTCTTTTTCTCTATCTGGGGTATGACTTTTTTTTTTTTTTTTTTTTTTTTTTTTTTAGAGAGAGCATGAATGCATGAGCAGGGGAAGGGGAGAACCTTAAAGCAGGGTCCATGGGCGCAGGGCTTGAACTGTGAGATCATGACCTGAGCCCAAATCAAGAGTCGGACACTTAACCTACTGAGTCACCCATGCGACCCTGGAGTGTGACTTTTTCAGGGGTGCAGTCCCAGCCTGAGGAGCAGCCTTGATGCAGTGTATATACAGGCAGACTGACCGTTCCTTGGCTGTCCCTCCTGGGGCTGTCCCTCCGCAGCTAGGTGAACTTGGGCAGGTCCCTCCCACTCTCTGAGCCTGTTTCTCATCTATAAATGGGGCCACCACTGCCAGCCTCTCCCAGGCTGTCAGGAAGATGAGGGGGCGCAGGAAAGGAGCTGTGCTAAAAGGGGCTTTGCAAAGAACAGTCAGGGCTGGTTGTTGGTTCTAATTCCCTCTTAGTTTATGGGCAGCAGGAGGTTGGGAGATTGTGGATGTTGACTTTTTTCCTCCATATTTCAAAACACCTGCAGGACTTCTATTGTTTTCACAATAAACAAGTCCCGTTGAATTTAAATAAGCAGAAGGGCACATGCTCAAACAAGTCCATTGAATTTAAATAAGCAGAAGGGCACATGTTCAGAGGTGGTGTTTGTGGAGGGGGTGGAGGCTGTTGTTGGGTTGGCACAGGCTCCCTTGGGGCCAAAGCCAGTGGGGCCAGGGATGGCACTGCCCCACCTGGAGATGGGGGGCAGGGGCGGCAGCCCTCCCTCCCCCTCTACACCTGGGGTTAGTGATCTCTGTGGATCAGAGCTCAGTCCCAGGACTGAGAACTAGTCTCTAGAGTCATGGGCAGGGAGAGGAGTTTTGCTCCCCAGGAGGGGTGGTAGAGACTGTCCGATCTATAGTCTTTATTCTACAGATTCAGAGAGGCCCATAGAGAGGGAGGCCTTGATCAGGGTCATTTGAGTCAGAGGGCCAATCCAGGCAGGTATGTATCCAAATCCAGGGTCAAATTTTTATGGCCGACCCTCCCCTTTGATGTCCGCCCCGCAAGGAGATGCTGGCTCTGTGCCAGGTCCTGTGCTGGGCTCAGGCACTCAGGTGATCACAGCTAGACCCTACCCCTGGAGGGTGCCCCAGCTAGTGGGAGCCTGCCAGGAAGCACCCACAAGAGGAGGGGTCTGCTCTGGGGTAGGGAGAAGTCAGGAAGGTTTTGTAGAGGAAATGCTGTAGCTGGGCCTTTAGCTCTGAGAAAGGGGTTGCTCTGAGGATAGTTGGGGAGAGATGATCCAGGTCCAGCAAACAGTAAATTGAAGGTGGAGGTGGATACTGTTTGCAGTGACAGTGGCCTACACTTAACAGCAGGGGATGGGGGTTGGAGAGGTCCAGGGACAAACTTAGGAAGGGCCTTGATAAATGTGAGAACAATTGGACTGTTGTACTGTGGGCTTCTGGGCGGGGTCGGGGGCGGCACAGTGGTTGAGGTGTGTAGGGGGCAGGGCTTGCTTCTGTGACCTGGGGTAGGTGAGACTAGCCCCTTGGGGGTGGGCTGGGCCCCGAGTACATCCACAGCGCCACCTGGTGTCCACCTGTCTCACTGCAGCGTGACCTTGTGGGGCTTTCTCCAGGGGAGCCAAACCTTTGAGCAGAGATCTCTGCAGGGGACTCTGGGCTCCCAGGCCACCCTTCAGACCAGGGTCAGTCCCCGAAGCCCTACCCCCTTCAAAGCAGCCAGGTTCCGTGGTCAAGGGGTCACATTCAGTGATGTGCCATACCCCTCCTGGTTCTTTGCTGCCCTCTCAGGCCAGAGCCCCTATGAGTGTGAGGACACAAGGGTCTCATGGTATAACCCACCCGCCCAGGCAGGCGTCCTCTTACACCATGATCCCATTCCAGAGCAGGTCCGGCCTCCACGCACACAGCTGTGATGAGCAGCCTACTCTTACCTAATGGTTCCCTCAAGCTTTAGGGAACTTTGCCGGAATGTCCTCTCCTTAGAGCTTCCTCTATCCAGTACCACCAGGCACCATCACTCCCTCCTCAATGGTTTTCTTTCAACCTTGCTGGGGCCGTACAGATCTTCACTACATGCTGAGAACAAAGGCAGGTACCACACAGCATGTTCAGCATGTGTGTCTTCAAATCCACAGAACCCTCTGCAAAGATGTTCACAAAATCCAACACCTCTTAGGATGATGGGATTGCAGACAACTTTTCCTCTCATCTTTGTACTTTCATTGGTTGCTTACATTTTCTAGATATATAATATGATCAAAGCAAATACTTTTTGGAAAAAACAAATGAAGAAATCTAAGCACACCCCAAACTAAAGCTGGAGGAGCTCTGCTGAAGCTCATGGATGCAGGACAAGGGGCTGTGGCAGTGGCTGCGCCATCCTGCAGCTCTGGCCTTTCCTGTTTCACAGGAGCTGTCCATTCCTCCCAGCACTCTGAACACCAGGGGAGCAGGGAGCTTCTTCGCAGCTCCCCACTTAGCAGATGCACAACACACCTCACCTCTTACCTGACAACTGCAAGCCCCCCCCCCCCCGCCTCATTTTCTGCTCCTCTTGCACCATCCCATCTCTCAACATAGCAAATCGATTATGTCACTCTTTGACCTACAAAGCCTCGCGCCATCTGGCCCGCTGGCCTCTCCAGCCTCCACACCTTCCACCACCTCCTTGGCTCTCGTGCTGCGGTCATTCTGGCCTCCGTTCAGTCCTTCCAACATTCTTTTCACTTGCTGCTCCCTGTGCCCGGAGTGTTCATCTCTCTGATCTATACTTTGTCAGTGAGGCCTCAGATTAAACATCACCTTGTCACACAACTTCCCCAACCTCCTGACACATACTCCTTCACACCTGGGGAATTCACACCTGCTGCCACCTGGTTGTATTTCCTCCCTAGCACTAGGCCACCTGAGATCACCAAACTTCTCTACCCTTTTGTCTCCCAGCCTCCTCAGAATAGAATCCCTGCTGGGCAGGAGCCTTGTTGGTCCTGCTCACCTCTGTACCCTCAGCACAGAGCCCAGGGCTGCTTTACATACAATAGGCTCCCAGGAAGACGTTTGTGGGGATGAATGAATTTACCCTAGACTGACTTGCCGTGAGTCACAAAGTCTAAGGGTAAAACCATGTGTCATTTCCCACAGAAGCAGGCAGTACACATCAGCAGCATCTGGTCTTGGAAACTGTCCTCAGCAGAGAGGATTGGCAGGGGCCTCTGCCCAGAGCTGGCTCACAGGAGCCCCCAGTCAGTGGCTGTTGAATGCATTCTGCTCTCAGCCTGACATTCACTGAGCGTTTGATCTGTGCCAGGCACCGAGCATAGCACTTTACATTTACTCTCTTGAAAACCACCCTGTGAGGTAGGTACCATTTCCTCCATTTTACAGAAAAGGAGACAAACAGACTGGCCTACAAGTGGCAACGTTAGGACTTAAGCACAGGCTGTGTGATCTCAGATTCCTGCCTCAGAACATGTCAGCTTTGGGGGCAGGGGGAGATGTCAGCCAAAGCCACCTACCCTCTGTGTCCTCTGGAGAGACAGAGCCTTATTCTTCAGCTAGCACGCTGGAAAGACACAGTGCCTCAATAATAAGGTCTCACAGGTGTGGTGGTGAGAACATGGCCTGGATTCAAGGGCCCGGCCGTTTGCCACCTGGATAACTTAGTTTCTCTGTACCTGTTTCCCCATCTGTAACACGAGACCAGTACCTACACCTCAAGTCCGTTGTGTGTGAAAGTACCTAGCCTCGCCTCGGCCTGTGGCACGTGCTCACTCAAAGCCAACTGAACCAACAGACACCTGCGGCCACACTAGTGTCTGTAGTGCCAGGGGACGCTCGGAGAGCCATCCACCCACCTCCACACTTGTTCAGTGAGGTCGTCGTAACAAGGTGGGCAGAGATCCTTGGGGCCACAGACCCAGCCTATAGCCAAACTGAAACCATAAGTATACGCTTCTTGGTGGGGTGAGATGCTCTCTGATGACCAAGGTCCTCTAGAGGAAGATCTCATAGGCTGGGGCCAGCAGACGAGGCTTTGAGTCTTTCTCTACCACCAGCTGCAAGGTGACATTGGGCAAGTAGTATTCTCTCGGGGCCTTTTCTCCATTTTTGTAAACCAATGGTGAAAGTCAAATATTCTTCCCTATTATTGTCACTTCTCATCCACAAGGCTAACAAACAAGCAAAGGCAGCATATCCAGACTCAGCAGAGTTAAGCTCAGAGGGAGACAGACTGAGAAGAAGCCTGGCTATGTTGGACGCATACCCAAACCTTAAGCACGACGCAAATGCAGCAGGCAGAAATGAGTTTATTGCATTAGAAAAAACATCAAAGAAAACCAGCAAACACCTCCGTACTAGACACAGTCATTAGTTTGACTTCATGGGCAAAAAGGAATCTCAAAGGTACAAGCTTTATTTTGGGGAAGGGGTGAGGTCCATCCCTCCTCCTTCCCTGTCCCTTTAAACCAATGGACCTTGATGGAGGTGTCTACTGTATGATACACACATGGCTCATTTCTCACTCTGCTTGCCTCGCACACTTGTGTGGAGCTAGCTGGTCATAATGAGCACGCTCCTGAGGTTCTGGCATTGACAGAGAAATGTGAGGATTGGGTTGGCGGTCGTAGCCTGAGCCCAGGCTTCCAAAATGAGTGATAGTGGGACTTGGGTGGGGGGAGAGAGCTGGCCTTCCTGGAGAGCTCAGAGAAGGCTGCTTGCTGGCTGATCCCTCCATCTTTCCCCACAAGCCTAGAGCCCAGGCATTGGCACAAACGGCTGCTGGGCATGAAGCGGGACTTTCAGTGAACCAAGTGACAGTCTCTCAGGGTAGCTACTTTGGCTAACTTCTCCTGGGTCTGGAGTGACTGCTATTAGGAGTGAAGCCAGCTGAGCCTGGATATGGGGGAGAAGAGAGAAGGAGACTGTGATGCCACACCTTCTGGCTAGAGCTGAGAGCCCTGGGAGGGAAAGTCTGGAACAGGAGCCTGGAAGAGACAGAGGGCTGGGCAAGGCAACCTGGAAAAGGAGAGAAACCTGGGTGGGAAGCGAAGGACTCCACTAGTAAGCTGCCTTCCCGAGAGGTACCCAGCCCAAAACCTATTCTCCGTGAGCCCAATTCTGCCAGTAGGTCAACATTAAATAGCAGTCCCTGCTAGTTTTCTGCTCTCCAAAATGTCACTTGACATCACAGCTGGTCACCATGGGGGTGCCTCTGGGCAGGTCACAGGCAAACAGAAAGGCAGAAAATCACCTTTTCCTCTAGCCAAGCCCCTGATGACGCCAACTGCTATGGCTAATGGTAGAGACGGGAAGATGAGCAGCAGCTTTTTGAAGAGCAAAGGCCTGCTGCAGGCCGGACCCCAGGAAAGAGAACATAATTCAAGTCTGAGAAGTGGCAGGAGCTGTGGCGGGAGGGACCCATAGATGCCAGGGCTGGGACTCAGGGACCTGACAGCTCTGAGACCCTTCTCCACACCCCCCCAAAAACTAACTTAAGGGAGGCATGTGTAGAAAAGGAATCTGAAAGCCTCTCCAGGTAAGAAACGTCCAGATTGGTCCTCCCTATAAGCTCCTAGCAGCAGCTCATTAGGAAAATGCCCAGTCAGGCTCTCAACAATGCATCCTTAAAGTCAGAATGACAACAGAAATAACATGTGCCTTCAAAACACACTGAGGATAATGTAAAAAATCTCTATCAGAAACAACTCAAAATTTGCTTGCCACCTTGATTCTGCATTATTATTCTATCTTTCTACATGAGGGATATTTTCCTAGAACAGGGAATCATTTCCCCTTGGTCCCTAGCTGAATATTGCATCTGGTTTGGGGGTGAAGGGGGGTGGTACAGGGACTACAAACAATCTACATTATTACTTGTAGACAATAGGCCTGGGTCTCTGCCGCTCCAGCCCAAACCTTCACAAACTACGAGGTCAGCCATGCTGAGGAAGAGCAGCCTGTAGCCAGCAAGGCAGGTTCTCCAAAATTGATGTCAGAGGATTGGCAATCAGTAGGTGGAAGGAAGAATGGCTTTATCCTGTTTTCTCTGGCCTGACACTTGCTGTCACTCTCCCCTGATCCTGAGGCTTTTGGTTGCTCCAGCCCTGGCCCCGTGGCCTTGCTTGGGGTAGGGAGAGGAGGTGAGAGAGGCTGTGGCTACAGAGTTCACTTAGGTTGGGTCAGTCATCCTGAAACTGGTCTCACGTGCACCAAATCCTTTGGTTCATTTAACACTAGAGAGGAACTGCTTCCGGGATGTTGCAATGGCTGCTTCGTGGATGTTGTAAAACTCACCTGGGTCCCACAGGTGGTGGCAACCTGGGTACAGCGTGGGCGTTCTCTGGAAAGAGGTTCTGGGTCGGGGCTCCCCCAAACCGTGCCTCTTGCCTTCTGCTTAAACAAACCCTCTCCCTTTCTCCAGTGTGGAGGATGCCTAGGAAGCAGTGTCAAGAGTGAACTCACAGACAAGACAGCCTTAATAAATTAGTATAATACTATTAGAAGGGATGGCATTTTGTTTTGTTTCTTAGCAGCATTGTCCTACATGCAGCCTGGTGATCTCCTTTCCTGGGAAATTTAAAAAGCCTTCCCCTGGTTGTTAGCTCTGATGTAAAATTATAAAATAGAAATCTGGTAGGGTTTGTTTTGTTTAAAAAGGAAAAGCCCCGGTGAGGCAGGGCGGTCCCATGCAGTCCTGTTAGCTCTGGCCGTTGGGTCGGCCCACGGGGCTCCCTCCAGGAGGCTGGATCTGAATGGAGTCCAGGAGGGGCCGCAGGGCCTGTCCGAAGGGCCTGTGGAGAAAAGAGACCCAGGGGCTTGGGTGGGCTGGGTGCAGACAGTCACAACCGCGCCCATGGATACAGTGATGCCACCACACAGGGAAGAAGGACACCCATAACCTCACTCGCTTTTCTCACCTACCTCGCACATCACGTTCATGGAGGAGCCCTCAAAATGGCCTGCTCTGTGTTTTTATTCCTGGGGTCCCCCTCACCCCGCGGAGATGCTACCGTCTTACTACTTCACCTATAGACCCTGGTTAGCTCTGGCTTGAACAGGCTAGCTGCATACAGGGAACTAGAGCTTTCTGACCTTTCTGCACTTGAATCTTTAATTCTCATGGTATACATGGATAAAAATAAAGTTTAAGTGAGGAAACTGAGGCAGAAGAAAAAGGATAAGAAAAAGGTATTTTCTAGGGAATACTCAGGAAAAATGACAAACGCAGGTTGCCAGGAGGTGTTAAGGCCACTTTCTAAAGGGCTCCCAGTTTGCTCTCAGAGTAACTTGGCTGGAAAAAAACACTGCAAATACTGGAACCTTAGAGACTTTTCAAAATTCCTAGAACTTTAAATCAGGGTGCCCACAACACATCTCAGTTACTGGCTTTCTTTTTCTTTGGTGGATATTGCCATTTTTGAAAATCATGTCCAGGTTCAAAGGGAGCATTCTCAAGCGTAAACAGATGACACCAAGATATATTAACCTTAATTCAGACAAGTCCTGGAGCTTCACCCACCAAATAATAACAGCAAGAACATTCCAGCTACTTATACTTGCTTAGGGCCTCATAACCTAGATCCTTTAGTAAGGCTGTGAGGCTTAACACACCCACCAAGGAACGGGAAGGCAGAGGCAGGGCTGGGAGTTGGGACTTTCCTCACTAGATTGACACCGCAGCCTTGTTTCCCTTGCAAGTTTTTCCTAAGAGGTTTCTACCCAGGTGTGAAAAACAGCTCACCTTGCTGAGCCTGCTAAACCTGCCAGGATCTCTGTTGGACAGGGCCCCAGTTCAGGAGAAACTGAGTCAGGGTTCGCAAACAGACATGGTCCTGGAGTGGTTAGAGGCTTGCCTGAACACAACAGCAAAGGAAGGGAAGGGTGTGATGGCTTTGGGTGTGTGTGTGTGTTGTGTGTGTCCTTTCAGGGGACACTGCTTAGATGATGGCCCACAAAGCTCGGACCACATCAGGGTGGGAGGGGCTACAGTGCGTTCTTGAAGAAAACATCTACTGAGGTATGAGGGCAAGTAGGAGGTTGTCTCTGAGGGCATCAAAGAGCTCATGGTGCAGGGGAAGAAAGACTAACAAATGACATTCGCAAAATAAGCCACCCTACTAATCCTCTGATCTGTTCTCTGCCTGTCTATCTAAAAGTACACTTTATGCGAGGACTTCTGGGGAGTGGCACGCTTCATGAGATGCCAGGGCTCTGTACAAATGCTGGAGCCGGCGTCAAGTGGATTTCTAAGTTCTGTGGTTGCACTCAGGCCAGGATAGAGTTGGTTCAACTCCAAGGAGGGTGAAGTATTACAGGCACACATCAGTGAGTGGAGAGAATGGTGGCTTTACCTGGTAGCAGCTGCCATCATGACAGGGCCCACCTAGCTCGGGAGGATTCTGCTGAGATCAGGGGCCAGACGAGCAGCACGGACTGTGAATGGGGATTTCAGGGGCTGAGGCAGAGACCGAAGGCCACTTACGTGGATAGAATTTCAGAGGGAAGGTCAGTGATGTAGGAAGGGATCTTCCGCCCGGTCAGGAACTGTGCCACTTCGTTGGTAAAGGTGTTACAGTTGTGTTCAAAGAGGTTGTAGGCCTCGCTTCTGTACATTGTAAGAAAGGTTTGAAGAACAGATCTGAGAGAGTCAGCAAGCACATATGTGAAATAACTCAAACCAGGAAATGGCATGGAGAGCATAGCTGAGTTAAGAGGACTGTGATTTTCCTTTCCTCATACACTCCAAAAGGACTGCTTGATTTGCCACTCTGGACCACAAAAACAGATTTTTAAGGGAAAGATGAAATAAAAATATATGGCTCCTCTACAGTTTCAGTAGAATCTTCATAGTCACAAAAGCAGAGCTCTAGTGTTAAACACTTACTACAATGACAATTGACTAAAGCTTAAGAGAAAACCTGCTCAAGTTGGCATTTCATCCAAATCCCTCCACAAACCCTGGTTTTGATTTTTCAGGACGAGATACTGGCCCAGGATGGGTTGAGAACAGCAAGTGCTGAGACAGCAGCAGCTGATTTTAATCAGAAGGAATAAATAGCCCTTCCTGTCCTCAGGGTTTCAGCAGAAGGTATGCTGGGATGGGATATCTGCCTGGGAGCAAAGCTGAGCTCTTTCTGTGGCATGATAACTGCTTTCTCTTCCTATTTATTCAGCAAATACTGGGCCAGACCTTGTGCTGAGTGCTCTGGGCGATGTGACCTTGTGGCTGCCCTCTGGGGCTGATCGTCTAGTGGGGGGACAGACACAACTAACCACCACCCCTGTCTCCACTCACCGGAACAGAGACTCCCCCAGGGAGGACAGGTATTCCAGAAAGAGTTCTTCTGTGACTTCTGTGCTCCCCACATCAACCACAGAGTCTGGGGGCCCAAGCAATGTCCCTCCCTAAAAGAGCCAACCCAAAGAAAGTCATTAAGTCACCATCTCCACTGAATTTTTTAATGTGGCTTCCCTTGGGAGACCACAGATGCTCTGTTCCAACGTTTACCTTTCAGAGCATCCAGGGCAGATGAAGAGTGTCATTTCCTATCTGTATCAAGGCTGCAATGGCTTAGAGCTTCCTGTTAACTCTCCATTGCCAAATGCTGGCAACGTGGCTAAGAAGCTGGGCTGCTTTCTTCTGGTGGGGCCCTGGGAAATTGAGTCTCTGGCCAGTCTCAGGCCAGACCCCTGATGCTGTCACCTCATCCAGTTGATAAAAAAATAGAAACCCAGAATCTGAAGTCTCCCTTTGTTCCCAACAGGCCTGATCCCAAGGGCACAAAAGGAGAACCAGAAATGGCTAGCACTTGACAGGCCATGTTTCCATGCCTATATTTAAGTGTATGCAGCCAGTTTTTTCTTGTGACACACTTGCTATCCCTTAGAACACTGGGGAAATGTGAAGACTGTGAGAAGTCTGGCAGGCTGGCAAACACTTCCACAATTTAGTTCTATTTTATCTGGGAGGCTAATCTAACAATGTCGATAGGGTTCCCCAGGCAAGGGAGTTAATGGCCCATGAAAGGCCTACAGGAAACCCTCCACCATGGGTTAATAGACTGCTATAGCAGACTAAAGGAGAGCCTGAGGCCAAGGGGAAAGCAGCCATGGGTGTGCAACAGATCACTGGGGAGGACAGAGCTGGGAATGGCTAGGGGGTAAGGGAGAGCACTCCTGAGCAGAACTCCCTGGAAAGATCATTAATTCACCCAATAGCTATTGGGCACCTACTGTGTGGCTGACATTGTTCTAGGCACTGGGGAAAGCCTGGTGAGCAGGATCATTACAATCGTCCAAGAATAATGGTCTCAAAATTGTAAGAGACTGAAAGATCACTATTCGACCCCCTATTATTCATTCATATAACAAATATGTACTGAGAACTTACTATGTGCCAGGCCTATGCTAGGCACTGGGGGTACGATGTGGACAAAACAGATGAGATTCTTGCCCTCATGGAGCTTATAGTCTAGCAGGAAAGGCAGACAAAAAAAAAAAAATCCCATAAACCAATATATAATTTTGAGCTGTAATAAGGTTATTAAAAGTCCAGCATGCCATCAGTACATATAACAGGGGACCTTTCCAGTCTGAGGAGTCTGGGAAGGCTTGCCTGAGAAAGTGACATTGAGCTCAAATCTGAAGGATGGAGAGGCAGAACCAGGCGAAGGATCAGGGAGGTGGACGAAGTGAGAGAGTAGGTTTAAATGTCAAGGTATGTTCAAGGAATGAGAAGAAGGTGTGTGTGTATGTGGGGGGGGGGGGGGTTGGCGGGAAGGCACAACCTGAAAAGAGGTCATTCAGAGAGGGAGACAGTGACCAGATCAGATAGGACCTTGGAGGCCATGCTGAGCTTTCTGGGTTTTATCCCAAGAGCAGTGGGCAGAGTTCTGACTTCAGCAGGGGGATGCCATGATCAGATTTTCATCTTGAAAAGATCACTTTGCCTCCTGTGTGGAGACCTGACTGAGGAGGAGCAGAGGTACTGCTGTGGTCCAGGCTGGACGTGAGCGTGGCATGGATGAAGGTGAAATCTCTGGAAATATGGGAAGAGATGAACAGAGACTGACTTAAGATATATTTACAAGGTAGAACTGACTGGGCTTAACGAAGGATTTGTTACAGGAGGTAAGGGACCAGCGAGAGGAAGAAATCAAGAATGACTTTCCATTTATGAATAGCAAAATGAATGGTTGGTTGGTCTTTGCTTGAGCACCTTCTACGAAAACCTTAGATTGCTCGGAGAGAAAGTTTGTGGCAAGGTACATGGGTTTTAGAGACAGAGAGTCCTGAGTTTTAGTACTGGTGCCACTTACTGGCCATGTAAGTTTGGGCAACTCACTTTACCCCTCAGAGCCCTCATCCTTCAGCTCAACATTGACCGAGTTCATACTATGAGCTCGGCACTGAGCTGGTTGACAGGGACAGAGAGTGAGACATGGTCTCAGCTCACAAGGAGCTTATACACAGCTCCCTGCAGAGACTCAGGAACAGCTCATCCATCAAACCATGCTCGGTGTGACCCAGAGGGACCCACATATGTTGAGGGGGCACAAAGGAGGCCTGGGAAGGGTGTTTTTGAGCTGAGTCTTAAGGTAGTTATGAGGAACTAAGCCACAGGCTGACATCCACTGGGCTAGAAGCCAGACATACAGAGTAGTAGTAAAGTTCCTGGTCTATGGGAACCCTGGGAACGTGAGACTTTAGGGCAGGGTGTGGGGGAAGCCACTCACTGGGGGACAGCTGGAGATACCGCCACTGCCGAAGAAGAACTCATCCTTATGCACAACTATGGAGGTATGCCTGCAATGCAGAGAAGAGACAGGATAAGCCAGAAAACTTCAAACTGGTCTGAGAAAAAGCAAACACCACACTTCAAGGAGAATAATTTCTGCCCAAGGATAGGACTTACACGGTCAGCAGCCTTATAAAACTAACCAAAGGCATAAATACCATAGATCAGAGTTTCTCAACTTTGGCACTACTAACACTTGGGGCTGGAAAATTCTTTGCTGGGGGGCTGTCCTGTGCATTCTAGAAGCTTAACAGCATCCTGGCCTCCACCCACTAGTTGCCAGTGGCACCCCCCCAATCAGTTGTGACAACCAGACAGGTCTCCAGACACTGCTGAATGTCTCCTGGGGCAGAATAGAACACAGCAGAAGAGGAGTCCCTAGATTCACCCTGATACTGACACACCTTTACTGAAATAAAGCTCTGCAGACTAAGGGGTGTTCCTAGGCAGTTAACAGGAGAGGTTAACCTGGACCATGCTGAGGCAAGACCTGTTTCAGGTGGAAGTGCTCATATAACTCGGTTTGAGTCAAACGAAGCAAAAAGACATTCTGGTCATCCCAAATGTCAGCAGGCTCCAGGAGTCCAGATGGAATACTGACCTATGGTCTCTTCTCATTAATGGAACCGAGAGCTCAGCTACCATCTTGTCTGAAAGGGGTGGATCCAGTGCTGACAGACCACGGCAGATGTGTTTTAAGACAGCCATGTGGAGCCCTTGGGACTTCTGTAGTTAGAAGGCTTGGTCAGGCGTGGGCATGACATCATTCTACCTTTCTTTACGCAAGGGTTTCTCAACCTCAGCACCACTGCCATTTTTTGCTTGGATAATTCTTTGTTGTGAAGGGCTGCCCTGTGCATTGTAGGGTGTTTATAGCAGCATCCTTGGCTTCCGTCCACCCATCAAAAATGTCTCTAGACACTGCCAAATTCCCTGGGGTTGGGGATCGGGGCACAAAATTACCCCTGGTTGAGAACCACTGCTTTAGAACTTGGAAGTTTCATGATACAGAGAGTTAGGTTTCAAGCTGGAAACATAGACTGAAACCTGAAGTGCACAGGTACTCCTTTGTTTCATAAACCAGTCAGTCATTGTAAGGAGTCCCACCCAACTTACCAGATGCCTTCCAGTTGTTTCCCTGTAGAGAAAAGAAGAGATTTAGCTACTCAGGACCAGAATAAATGGCCTCCCAGCCTGAGCAAATTCAGAACATCACTCAAACCCACTATAAACCCACTCAAACCCAATTTAACCCACTATAAACCCACTCAAACCCACTTTAACCCACTATAAACCTCTGGGGGGATTTTCCAGGAATGCAATTCTCCTCCAATAAGGTCCTTAGGTCATGATATAGGTATGTCATGTTAAGTAAGTTGAACGATTATCAGAATCCTTCATCAGAATGCAAGATAAAAACACTGGTATAGATGTACCCCAATTTTATGTTTGTTTTTCTTTCCCTGTCAGGGTCAATTCAACTTTGCCTTTAATTTGTCTCACATATAGCGACAACAGTAAAACAATGGTATAAAAAAGCTATTATCCACTTCTTCATTGAGCATATGGGAGGTGAAACCCTTCAGAAAATGGCAGAGCGAAACTTTACAAATCCCGTCCATTTGGAATAGTCAATGCAAATGTATTCTGTACCTCTATATGGCAGAAATGATGTTAGATATGGAAATGAAAGTACGAAGAGATCACTGTCCTGCCTTTAAGGAGCCCAAAGTCAAATGGAAAGAGAGACACACATAACTAAGTAAAACACAATGTTGATAGGTTCTAATTATACAGTGGTAAAAATAAGATGCTATATATGATAAAGATAAGGAACTACCTTCATAAACTGTAATTCAACCCAGGAAAAGTAGGGGCAGGGATGGACGTTTCTGCCAGAGGGAATAGTATGTGCAAACCCACGGTTGTGATAAAGATCAAGGTCCTGCAGGTTAGAACAAAGACTGTAGTGATGGTGACAGGAGGAAAAGTGGTCAGCAAGGATGCCAGGAAAGTAGGGTAAGCCCAGACAGAAGGCTGTCCTACACCGTGGGGGCATTCATGGTTGTTAGGCAGCCAGCAGAATGCCTTAACCAGATCTATGTTTTGGTTTTTTTTAATGTTTATTTAGTTTTGAGAGGGAGAGAAAGAGAGAGAGAGAGAGAGAGAGAGAGAGAGAGAAACATGTGAGCAGGGTAGAGGCAGAGAGAGGAGACACAGAATCTGAAGCAGGCTCCAGGCTCTGAGCTGTCAGCACAGAGCCCAACTCAGGCCTCGAACTCATGAACAGTGAGATCGTGACCTGAGCCGAAGTCAGATGCTTAACCGACTAAGCCGCCCAGGAGCCCCCAGCTCCATGTTTTTAAAAGACAACTATATCTTTTATTTATTTTTTTAATGATTTTTTAAAGTTTATTTATTTTGAGAGAGAGGGAGAGAGAGATAGAACACAAGCAGGGGAGGGGCAGAGAGAGAGGAAGGGAGAGAGAATCCCGAGCTAAGAGC